GGCCAAACTATTTTTTCGCCCATGGGCGAGATTTTTTAATATCGCTCTAAAGTTAGTCGAATTAAGTCAAAATGAGTTGAATTTTGTTTCATGATACTTATAAACATACACTCATTCATTTACAACCTCCAAAACATGGAAAAACACATATTTTGAGTAAAAGTAAAATATTCTCGCCCATGGGCCAACCTATTTTTCGCCCATGGGCGAGATTTTTTTAATATCGTTCTAAGTTAGTCGAATTAAGTCAATATGAGTTGAATTTTGTTTCATGATACTTATAAACATACATTCATTCATTTACAACCTCAAAACATGGAAAAACACATATTTTGAGTAAAAGTCAATATTCTCGCCCATGGGCCAAACTGTTTTTCGCCCATGGGCGAGATTTTTTAATATCGCTCTAAGTTAGTCGAATTAAGTCAATATGAGTTGAATTTTTGTTTCATGATACTTATAAACATACATTCATTCATTTACAACCTCCAAAACATGGAAAAACATATATTTTGAGTAAAAGTAAATATTCTCGCCCATGGGCCAACCTATTTTTTCGCCCATGGGCGAGATTTTTTAATATCGTTCTAAGTTAGTCGAATTAAGTCAATATGAGTTGAATTTTGTTTCATGATACTTATAAACATACACTCATTCATTTACAACCTCCAAAACATGGAAAAACACATATTTTGAATAAAAGTCATTATTCTCGCCCATGGGCCAAACTATGTTTTCGCCCATGGGCGAGATTTTTAATATCGCTCTAAGTTAGTCGAATTAAGTCAATATGAGTTGAATTTTGTTTCATGATACTTATAAACATACATTCATTCATTTACAACTTCAAAACATGGAAAAACATATATTTTGAGTAAAAGTCAATATTCTCGCCCATGGGCCAAAATGTTTTCGCCCATGGGCGAGATTTTTAATATCGCTCTAAATTAGTCGAATTAAGTCAAAATGAGTTGAAATTTGTTGTCATGATGCTTACAAACATACACTCATTCATTTACAACCTCCAAAACATGGAAAAACACATATTTTGAGTAAAAGTAAATATTCTCGCCCATGGGCCAACCTATTTTTCGCCCATGGGCGAGATTTTTTAATATCGTTCTAAGTTAGTCGAATTAAGTCAATATGAGTTGAATTTTGTTTCATGGATACTTATAAACATACACTCATTCATTTACAACCTCCAAAACATGGAAAAACACATATTTTGAATAAAAGTCATTATTCTCGCCCATGGGCCAAAATGTTTTTCGCCCATGGGCGAGATTTTAATATCGCTCTAAGTTAGTCGAATTAAGTCAATATGAGTTGAATTTTGTTTCATGATACTTATAAACATACATTCATTCATTTTGCAACTTCAAAACATGGAAAAACATATATTTTGAGTAAAAGTCAATATTCTCGCCCATGGGCCAAAATGTTTTTCGCCCATGGGCGAGATTTTTAATATCGCTCTAAATTAGTCGAATTAAGTCAAAATGAGTTGAAATTTGTTTCATGATGCTTACAAACATACACTCATTCATTTACAACCTCAAAACATGGAAAAACACATATTTTGAGTAAAAGTCAATATTCTCGCCCATGGGCCAACCTATTTTTCGCCCATGGGCGAGATTTTTAATATCGTTCTAAGTTAGTCGAATTAAGTCAATATGAGTTGAATTTTGTTTCATGATACTTATAAACATACACTCATTCATTTACAACCTCCAAAACATGGAAAAACACATATTTTGAGTAAAAGTCAATATTCTCGCCCATGGGCCAAAATTTTCGCCCATGGGCGAGATTTTTTAATATCGCTCTAAGTTAGTCGAATTAAGTCAATATGAGTTGAAATTTTGTTTCATGATACTTATAAACATACACTCATTCATTTACAACCTCAAAACATGGAAAAACATATATTTTGAGTAAAAGTCAATATTCTCGCCCATGGGCCAAAATATTTTCGCCCATGGGCGAGATTTTTTAATATCGCTCTAAAATTAGTCGAATTAAGTCAAAATGAGTTGAATTTTGTTTCATGATACTTATAAACATACACTCATTCATTTACAACCTCCAAAACATGGAAAAACACATATTTTGAGTAAAAGTAAATATTCTCGCCCATGGGCCAACCTATTTTTCGCCCATGGGCGAGATTTTTAATATCGTTCTAAGTTAGTCGAATTAAGTCAATATGAGTTGAATTTTTGTTTCATGATACTTATAAACATACATTCATTCATTTACAACTTCAAAACATGGAAAAACACATATTTTGAGTAAAAGTAAATATTCTCGCCCATGGGCCAACCTATTTTTTCGCCCATGGGCGAGATTTTTTAATATCGTTCTAAGTTAGTCGAATTAAGTCAATATGAGTTGAATTTTGTTTCATGATACTTATAAACATACATTCATTCATTTTACAACTTCCAAAACATGGAAAAACATATATTTTGAGTAAAAGTCAATATTCTCGCCCATGGGCCAAAATGTTTTTCGCCCATGGGCGAGATTTTTTAATATCGCTCTAAATTAGTCGAATTAAGTCAAAATGAGTTGAAATTTGTTTCATGATGCTTACAAACATACACTCATTCATTTACAACCTCCAAAACATGGAAAAACACATATTTTGAGTAAAAGTAAATATTCTCGCCCATGGGCCAACCTATTTTTCGCCCATGGGCGAGATTTTTTAATATCGTTCTAAGTTAGTCGAATTAAGTCAATATGAGTTGAATTTTGTTTCATGATACTTATAAACATACACTCATTCATTTACAACCTCCAAAACATGGAAAAACACATATTTTGAATAAAAGTCATTATTCTCGCCCATGGGCCAAACTGTTTTTCGCCCATGGGCGAGATTTTTTTTAATATCGCTCTAAGTTAGTCGAATTAAGTCAATATGAGTTGAATTTTGTTTCATGATGCTTATAAACATACATTCATTCATTTACAACCTCCCAAAACATGGAAAAACATATATTTTGAGTAAAAGTCAATATTCTCGCCCATGGGCCAACCTATTTTTCGCCCATGGGCGAGATTTTTAATATCGTTCTAAGTTAGTCGAATTAAGTCAATATGAGTTGAATTTTGTTTCATGATACTTATAAACATACACTCATTCATTTACAACCTCCAAAACATGGAAAAACACATATTTTGAATAAAAGTCATTATTCTCGCCCATGGGCCAAACTGTTTTCGCCCATGGGCGAGATTTTTAATATCGCTCTAAGTTAGTCGAATTAAGTCAATATGAGTTGAATTTTGTTTCATGATACTTATAAACATACATTCATTCATTTGCAACTTCCAAAACATGGAAAAACATATATTTTGAGTAAAAGTCAATATTCTCGCCCATGGGCCAAAATGTTTTTCGCCCATGGGCGAGATTTTTTAATATCGCTCTAAATTAGTCGAATTAAGTCAAAATGAGTTGAAATTTGTTTCATGATGCTTACAAACATACACTCATTCATTTACAACCTCCAAAACATGGAAAAACATATATTTTGAGTAAAAGTCAATATTCTCGCCCATGGGCCAACCTATTTTTCGCCCATGGGCGAGATTTTTTAATATCGTTCTAAGTTAGTCGAATTAAGTCAATATGAGTTGAATTTTGTTTCATGGTACTTATAAACATACACTCATTCATTTACAACCTCCAAAACATGGAAAAACACATATTTTGAATAAAAGTCATTATTCTCGCCCATGGGCCAAAATGTTTTTCGCCCATGGGCGAGATTTTTTAATATCGCTCTAAGTTAGTCGAATTAAGTCAATATGAGTTGAATTTTGTTTCATGATACTTATAAACATACATTCATTCATTTACAACTTCCAAAACATGGAAAAACATATATTTTGAGTAAAAGTCAATATTCTCGCCCATGGGCCAAAATGTTTTTCGCCCATGGGCGAGATTTTTTAATATCGCTCTAAATTAGTCGAATTAAGTCAAAATGAGTTGAAATTTGTTTCATGATGCTTACAAACATACACTCATTCATTTACAACCTCCAAAACATGGAAAAACACATATTTTGAGTAAAAGTAAGTAAATATTCTCGCCCATGGGCCAACCTATTTTTCGCCCATGGGCGAGATTTTTTAATATCGTTCTAAGTTCGTCGAATTAAGTCAATATGAGTTGAATTTTGTTTCATGGTACTTATAAACATACACTCATTCATTTACAACCTCCAAAACATGGAAAAACACATATTTTGAATAAAAGTCATTATTCTCGCCCATGGGCCAAAATGTGTTTCGCCCATGGGCGAGATTTTTTAATATCGCTCTAAGTTAGTCGAATTAAGTCAATATGAGTTGAATTTTGTTTCATGATACTTATAAACATACATTCATTCATTTACAACTTCAAAACATGGAAAAACATATATTTTGAGTAAAGTCAATATTCTCGCCCATGGGCCAAAATGTTTTTCGCCCATGGGCGAGATTTTTTAATATCGCTCTAAATTAGTCGAATTAAGTCAAAATGAGTTGAAATTTGTTTCATGATGCTTACAAACATACACTCATTCATTTACAACCTCCAAAACATGAATTCTGATCGAAATTAAACATTCTCGCCCATGGGCCGGCCCATGGGCCACTGTTCGCCCATGGGCCTGCCCATGGGCGAGCGAGTTAAATTTAAAGTTTTCGAAAGAAAATTTTTTCGTGTTTTTTCATCCTTGGCATATATTCATAACAACTGCATGTTTAATTAGGTCAAATCCCTTGTCAGAAAGTGCCCACAGTGCGGAGAGTTTCTGGACTTTTGTGAGTCAGAATTAAATTGTGACGTGTTGGCCGTTTGCAAGGTGGTATACGACGGTACGACCCGTTAGAGTCCGCATTTCCTTCGGTCGAATGAAACTTCCGTTCAGATATCACTGGAACATAATTCAATACATAGGTGATTGAGAAAATAAATATATTTAAAATATCACCTGTGGACTTGATGATAGCTCTGATTGTGTCTGGATGGTAGACTCTGATGAGTGGATTGAAGGGCCCTATCCAGACCCGGTAGTACTTGGGGTATTTCCTCATCCATTCCTGCTCCACTGCAACGCGCTTCTCAAACAGCTTAGGGTACTGAAATATATACCTATAACCCTCATCAAGCGGTACCTCGACCATATCGTCTGTACAGAGTTACTTCCCTTAAGTGTGTTAGAACCCGTGAAGATCCGGGTTAGAATTGATCTTCAGTAACCCATGCTTGTCGTAAGATGCGACTAACGGGATCAGGTGGTCTTCGGGCTGGTTGACTGGGTTGATACATGTCATCGTATCTCAGTTGTGTAGATCGATGCTCATGCTGTTGATCACTGGATCGTATGGTCCAGACTCGGTTACTTACAGACCGCCGCCATATAGATGGAATATTGCTGAGTGCGGCGTAAAGCCAAACTCACTCACTCACTCCATAGGTGTCTCAGAAATTTGTGATCGGACATTTGAAACATCCGTTCTTATTGATTATGTGGGATATACTACTCAGTCGCTGATATAGATATAATCATTTGTGTCTTTTGGGCTTCTCCTTCTTAAATTGGATGCTGTGAATATATTTTACTTGACCACTGTCTTTCTCCCCGGCATGTATCAATGAGAGTGAGCTGTGGTTTTACGCCGTCTTTAGCAATATTCCAGCAATATCACGGCGGGGGACAATAGAAATGAGCTTCACGCATAGTACCCACTTGAGGAATCGAACCCAGGCCTCCGACATTACGAGCGAACGCGTTAACCACTAGGCTACCCCACCGCCTCATCCTATTTATAGAACACTCATGGCACTGGGACAGAACAGATTCCCAGCTGATAGGGTGTATTCATGGACAGGGACGTGAGCTGATAATTATGCGCGCACGCTCATGATTAGTGCTCACTAAAGCTTAGTCTCTGAATATGTATTTTTTGATAGTAACAAACAAGCCCATTTAAATTGAAAAGGAGCCCCAGGGAGACCAGAGAACCTGAGGAAATCTAGACTTGCTTTATTAGGGCTTTAGCCCTGCAGAGAGGGTTTGGCAGTAGGGAAAATAATGTGGTTCAGGGACTGTGAGACAGACTAGCTCATCATTTGTCTGACCTAGCCCCAAAAGGTCAAAGGTCGTCGTGACACAGCTTGACTTGCATTGACAGCTGGGTAAAAATAGGACATTTGAATGGTCGAAGCAACCGAACAGTTTATCTCAATATATTGCAAAACATATATAATTCACCTACAATTAACTATTCTCTGTTTACATGTCCACGGACTCGGATGCTTTTATGATCATTTACTAATGATATTTGTGCAAAGCCCAGTTCGTGCAGTGAGTGAGTTTGGTTTTGCGCCGCATTTAACAATATCCCAGCAATATCACGGCGGGGCACCAGAAATGGGCTTCACACAATGTACCCATGTGGGGTATCGAACCTGGTCTTCGGTGTGATGGGCGATAGCTGTAACTACAAGGCTACCCCACAGCCCCGGAATATTATAAAATGTACCGTGTTGACAGTGATGACCAGTGTCTGCAGCAGATAACGTTGTAGAACACGTTGCAACAGTAAACAACGCATCAACTGCAGTTGTGGCAGAAGTACTCGTAAAAATATCCATCTGTACATAATTTTAGGCGACTCACCAAATGCAGGTTGCCTGTCCTCCAGGAGAAGTCCTTGACCCCCTGACAGTTGTTGAAGAATCTGTAGAGACGCCGATACCAGATCAGGAACTTGATGATGCGGTATATCACGTACAGGAGAACAGATGTTCCTACAGACTTGACAACAGATTTGCGATTGAGACGAGATACAAGCTCCAGTGGGCCCATGTTTGTAAACGTCTCTCGCCCACAGCAGGCCCCGCTCCAAAGATTAAGCGTGTCGCTGGTTGACCTGTTTAAAAGGCTGACTCACTGACTGCGACCTCTTTCGAATGTGGGGTCTTATTCTAGAGGCATGTGCTTCGCAAGGCATGTGCTCCGTTTTAACAGGTGACGAAAGCACTTTGCGCTTTAATATGGAAAGCAGGCCTTTTATATCCTTCATGCTTCGGTGTGTCCCAGTTATTCACCTGTCACCAATCGGGTTCAACAAGGGTGTACACCCTCGATCTCGTGTTTCAGTCACGTGTATATGCTAGACCAAATACCCGTAAATTAGAGTTGCTCTACTGCATTCTATGCTTGTCGTAAGAGATCGGGTGGTCAGGTTCGCTGACTTGGTTGACAGATGTCATTGTATCCCAATTGCATAGATCGATGCTCATGCTGTTGGTCACTGGATTGTCTGATTCAGACACGATTATTTACAGACCGCCGTCATATAGCTGGATGCGGTGTTCAGTGAACAAACAAACAAAATCCTGCACGCCAGACAGATTTAAGAACTAATAATATTCTGCACTCACGGGCTTAAAATCATTCAGACAATTGTTCGTGCACTTCTAAGCTGTAAATACCTTCTCAGCTGTAAATGAGCTGAATTCAATGAATGAGTGAGTTTAGTTTTACGCCGCACTCAGCAATATTCCTTCTATATGGCGGCGGTCTGTAATTAGTTGGATCTGGAACAGACAATCCAGGGATCAACAGCATGGACATCAATCTACGCAAATGAGATTCGATGACATGTGGCAACACAGTCAGCGAGTCTGACCACCCGATCCCGTTAGTCGCCTCTTACGACAAGCATGGGTTACTGAAGATCAAGTCTAACCCGGATCTTCACGGGTTTGAATTCAATGAAGACATTCCTATTGTCATTGACCGGACACTCCGTGATAACACTGTCATTCTGATTTGAAACACTAAACGCACTCACTCTCCAATAAAACAGCCTTAATACGTCAGTCTGAAAATAACCGTATCTGGATCAGCAATCTAGAGACTGACATCATGAACACAATTGGATATTCTATCATACCAGTTCTACCATGGTTCTCACGAGCAGATAACATGTATTGATAGAAAGATTTCAGTTATACATTGGTTACCATTGTTTCCATCTTATAAATAATCGTGTGACAAATCCTTATGAATTAATCATAATTATATATTTAAGTCATTATATTTGCAGAGTTAAGTCAGTTTGTCGCAAAAGGATCCTTGAATTCGAATCCTATATTTGCCCTGATTCAGATGCTTGGTTTGCATGCACCATGGCTTTGCTCGTTCCACCAAAGCGGTTAACGGTGGACTAGAACCTATGATCTGAGCCTCCTACAAGCAGAAACTAACACGCCATAATTTGACTCAAATACCGTATTAAATTCAATTTGACAAGTGACAAGTTTATTAGTATTTGGGGCCACGTGACCCATATTACTAATACATAATAACTGCACAAAGTGCACCTACCGGTATATCATTCATTCACAAAAAATATCAACCGGGCAAGTTTCTTTTCAAATACAACGACAAAGATTTGATAAGTTTTGTGTCAGTGGATGCTAGCAGTTGATACATTTTTGAAGCAGACGGATTCTTATGATAATATTCAGGTAAAACTGTTGTCTGCTTATCTTATAGTAAGGGCAAATAAATCAAAAGTGAAATTCGTCTTCAATACAGCCCAGGAGACATTCGGTACATAGTAACGCATTTGGGTTATCATAACATTTAAATCTATCTAACTGAACTTTCAATTAATGAGATGCACAGCGAAACTTACAATATACCCTCAACAGGTCTTTTTCGGGAAACAATTCAAGAATATACTTCTCAACATCCAAAAGAGATTTATAACCACTGTAATGTTTTAGAAATGATGACCTTAAGATCTTACAATGCCAATTTTGGAATTGTATGTCTCTACAGCTTTGTGAAAACAAATTCATGAAAACGTTAATACTACCGCAATCTTGAGTGAACCATACGTACGAAACGCCAGTTTCAAACAATAATATTTGAATGCCAGAAACCCAACATACTTTATCCTGTTCATCAAAATGTTTCAGCATTTCATAACTAGCCTTTGATACCTTGATCTATCCATTCGAGTAAGTCTGCACCAGTAGCTCATACAACGACTATAATAATTAACACACAAATAACTTCTGCCTGTATCACCAAGAATTGCAGTGCTTGATGTTCTTCTGGAGACCCCCAGACACTTCTTTAAAATATCAGTTTGAACCGTTTCTTTTGACTGCCTGAATGCATGGCCCCATATCTCTGAGTCGTATAAGAGGATTGGAGAAACTTTTGAATCAAATATTTTAGTTACAGAATTAAATGGTAACGAGGGGAGATATGTCTATAATCTGTAAACAGGAAACAGCGCCTTCTTGGCCTGAATAGCCAGAGTTTCACACGCCCTGGACCAAATCAATCTTTAGGAAAATATGAGTCCTAAATATTTATAATACGAAACACACTTCAATTCTGTACCAGCATAAAACCACCGCTCTGTCCTTTTTAATGGGCCACCATTTCTAAATGTTACTACATTTGACTTATCCAAATTAACTTCAAAGCCCCATTTAATACAAGCTTTCTCAAGAAAGTCTAATTTCCTTTGTAATCCTAAAATTGTATCATCGACCAAAGCAAGATCATCGGCAAATAAAAGTAACACAAATTTCAAGTTTTCTTGGACAAATATCCCCCTCAACTCGCTCTGTTCAAATTCTGCCACTAGCCCGTCAATAAAGAGGATAAAGAGAACTGGGCTTAACATGCATCCCTGTCGAACACCAGCAGAAGTACTAAAATATCTGTTCTACCTTCTTTCGCCTTGACACAAGCCTTGACCTTTGAGTACATATCGTAAGAACATTAAATAATTTGCCACCTATACCCCTTTTATTAAGAACATACGTAAGCTTTGGTCGATTTACTAAATCAAAGGCTTTGCGGAAGTCGATGAAGACTACATAAAAACGATGTTTTGGTTTCTCAAATATTTCTGACATAGTGCTTGTAAAGTAAATATGTTATCAACTGTAGAATAATTACTTCTAAAGCCAGCTTGCGATTAATAAATAATACCATTTATTTCGATCCACTTCAATTCAATTTATGTACTCAGTTAAATCCGCTTCGAAATACACAATGCCATTTTAGAAAGTTGTCAAATGTAACGGATGTTATATTTGGGATTACACTTTCTTAGTAAAGTACAGATTTCAGTTCTTTTTGGGTTGAGTCCCATCCGGATTCGAACCCACACCCTCAGAGTCAGGCACCTAATCGCCAGCACACAAAGTCAGACGCCTAGACCGCTCAGCCACCGCGGCTTCCACAAAATGGAAGTCGGACTACTGGTAGTCTAGACTGCGGGCTTTGTGTACCCCTCTGATAAGTACTATTTGGCACGGCTCCCACGGCTTAAAGCTATGAAAGCCGTACTGTACTTTACTAAGAAAGTGTAATTCCAAATATGACATATGTTACATTTGACCACTTTCTAAATGGCAATTTGTATTCACACACGACAGTTAGATCAAGGTTTTGTGGTGATACATTTCACGTAACGTATCTGTTCATTTCAACAACGGCAATAATAGGCTGGACAACAGCATTAAGTTTTATATATTTTATGATGATGGAATAAAGAAACACTAAGGCAAATGAAACGTGCAAGAAAACGCTGTTCAAATGCTCATTAATCCGTGAATACGCAACAAGTTTCGACAGGCTTTCGACAATGATTTGCTTGTTTGTTGTTTAATGCAATATTCATTGTTATTTAAAGCAATGTTCATCTTCAATAAATGCATCTTAATAATATAATAATAAATGGATATTTCTTATGCGCCATAGTCCATCCAGAGCATGCTCAAAGCGCTACATATAAAAAGAGTCACTAGAGTTCAAGAGGAAGATATGACAATTAGCCAAAATTAACCGTGAGAATATTTCGCAGTTATAGGTTGTAGACCTTTTTTGAAGAGGAAGGTTTTGAGTCCCGATTTGAATGCTTCTAGGGATGAAGCATTTTTTATGGGAGTAGGAAGACTGTTCCATAGGGTTGGTGCTGCAAATATGAATGACCTATGGCCAAAGTGTTTGAGACGAACTTGGGGAACTGAGAGAAGATGTTGATTCTGAGATCGGAGAGAACGGGCAGGCATATATGTTGACAACATCTCAGAGAGGTATGGAGGAGCTAGGCCGTGTTTGCAGCGGAAAACAAGAGTGCAGATCTTGAAATGAATTCTTGCTTCAACCGGCAGCCAATGCAGACTCTGGAGGATTGGGGTTATGTGAGTCCATTTGGATGTTTTAGTGACAACTCTGGCGGCAGCATTCTGGAAGTTTTGAAGTCTGAAGAGAAGATCATTGGAGATTCCAAACAGTAGGCTATTGCAATAGTCAATCCTGGAGAGAGAACAAGTGACTGAGTGAAAACTTTAGCAGCATCTGTGGTTACAAGATGGCGGATGTTACCAATAGAGTGGAGATGGAAGTAGCCTACTCTACAGAGATGGTTGACATGTTGCTCCATGGTGAGACAAGGATCAAGATAAACACCTAGGTTTTTTACACTGGATGAAAGTGGGATATCTGAGTTGGCTACTGTGATGTCCGTAGAGTTTATCCTTTTCAGACGTTGCGATGTGCCAATCAACATAGCCTCAGTCTTATCATCATTGAGCTTCAGCTCATTTGTCATCATCCATGAACTAATTGCCTTCGTGCACTGACTCACTCTTGATCTGGCTATTTGTACATCCTCTGGTTTGAAGGAATCCATCAATTGGAGGTCGTCTGCCAATGCGTGGTGATTCAGATCAAAGTTATCAATGACCTTCTCCAAAGGGTTTGTGTATAACACAAAGAGAAGCGGCCCAAGGACTGAGCCCTGGGGTACACCACACTCTAGGATCGTTGACTCAGACATGCTTTCAGAGACAAGAACTGACTGACTCCTCATGCTCAGATAGGAACGGAACCAGGCCAATGCATCCCCTTGTATGTTATAGTCATCCTGATGACGGCTAAGGAGCTTCTGATGGTTGACCGTGTCGAACGCCGCTGAGAAATCAAGCAAGAGGAGAAGTGACACATTACCCAAGTCCGCATGGCATCTCAGGTTATTCAGAATTTGAAGTAAGGCGGTCTCAGTACTGTGCCTAGGACGATAGGCTGATTGGAATCTGTTCAGAAAATCATTTGAAGAGAGATAGGATCTGAGTCTGACATCAACTGCACGTTCAAGGATCTTGGAAAGGAAAGAAAGGTTGGAGACAGGTCTGTAATTCTTGAGAGTATTGATATCCAAATTGTCTTTCTTAAGTAATGGCTTTACCACAGCTTGCTTGAACACCTCTGGAAAGACACCATTAACTAAGCTCAAGTTGATCAGTTTCGTGATAACTGGCAAAAGAGTCTCCAAAAAAGTCATCAAGGAGACGAGTTGGCATCGGATCGAGAAGACACAATGTCTTTTTTGACCGTTTGATGAGTGCAGCTATCTCACCCTCAGTGAAAGAATCAAAGGTGTCCAGGCAGATCCTATCATCGGGATCTTGGCAAAATAGTGAGTGAGTTTAGTTTTACGCCGCTTGCAGCAATATTCCACCAATATCACGGCGGGGGACACCAGAAAAGGCAATCGAACCCGGGTCTTCGGCGTGACGAGCGAACACCTTAACCATTAGGATACCCTACCATTCATCTTGGCAATAGAAAGGGAAAAATAGTAGACACTGATGTACTTTGCTTGTCCAGATGTAAACAAACATTTTAAAATTCGTCAGCGTTGTCGTTGAGATAAACTTGTTTCGACACCCCTCCTCGGCTAGGACATTGTGGCTTGAATGAATGCATGTGGAAGTATTATAGATAAAGACATTTCTCCTCAACGTGAATACTACCCAGACTTACACTGCCCAGAAACGGTTCAGCACTATCTCGTGGAATGTCCAACGCACGAAAAACAATAGGCTCTCAAATTAACTGTCCTTAACAAAACCAAAAACATTTTTACAATTAACACAATACTCGGGGATAATGTATCGTATGTTTGCATACAAGAGTCGTGTTAACTTGCTCATTCAAACGTGGACGTATGGCATAATTTAACTGAATATAAATGTAACAGTTTGTTAGTGCTGGGCGCATATAGGCCTTTTTCAGACCCAAGGTGCCCCTAAAACCTTCCCTATCTACCTCGAATGCTGTAAACGAGTTGCACACCTTGAGTTCGTGGAAAGGGACTCCTCGAAAAGTTGTGAAATGTCGACATCAAACATGCCATTGAACTGCCGAAATAATACTTGCCATGAAAGAAAGTTGGGGTTTTGAAGGTTGAAGTCATCTCTCTTCACATAAAGACGTGTGGAGACCTTCATGCGTGTTTCTGAAGAGATGATATGGTCTCATTTGTCTCCATTACGTTTAGTTCAGAAGGTTAAATCAGGTTCAGAAGGTTAAATTGGTTATGTTGGTTATTGAACGATATCCGTTTATCGTATTTCTAACACTTCCACGTCTTAGCGAGATGTACTTGCTTTGAATTAGAAACAGATCAGCAAAGTGGGGATTACAATTGATGCCAAAGGATTTCCTTCTCCATGCCTCAAAATTTTATCCAAAATATTTATTATTTCACTTAAATACTTTCAGTGAGGTCCAGCTTTCCAATCTGTTTCTATATAAAATGACATATGTTTTCGTTTTAGCATATACTACTTGCACTTTGCTAAGGATCACAAAAATCACAACTTTACTTAAAAGTAGATTTATAATGTGAAATTGTATCCATTTAAAACTGGATAAATAGTGATATGGTAACCCCTCAACAGCCACTATAATCTAACCTTATGCACTTGATACATGAGTAACCATAAAAATGGTTTTCATGGCACCAACCAACTATTTTGCAAATCATGGAGCGAGTCATTGACAAGTACACAACACCTGTGAATAGCAGGTATGGGATCCACGAGATGCAATGACATACTGAAACCTAAGATCCTTGCTTACAATAAGCTAAGATATTTAAACCAAATTTGACACCACATCATAGTTTTCTGTTGAATCAATGATTTGATCCTTAGCAAAGAGTGAATAGTATATATTAGCGTGTGTTTATGCTTGCTCCGTCGCTCAAAACAAATCTCTTTCCCTTTCGTGTCGCAGCACATGTTCAGGTGAAGTGTCATGTGCCATGTTCGTGTCGCAGCACATGTTCAGGTGAAGTGTCATGTGCCATGTTCGTGTCGCAGCACATGTTCAGGTGAAGTGTCATGTGCCATGTCGATTATAGACTAAGTGATGAAAGTCAAATTATGCAGAGTAAGATGTATATTACTCAAATTGTGGTATTGTGTGGTTATTTCCATAACCCCAAAAGAAGTGCAACCCTTTGGACTGGGAAAATATAATCTCACCATAATCTGAAAAGAAGAATCCGCAAACGGTTTAGTCCTTCAAACGACAGCATATGTTATATTTGGGATTACACTTTCTCAGTGGAAGCTCCGTTGGCTGAGTAGGTTAGATCGCTGACATTGTGTGCTGGCGATTAGATGCTTGACTCTGAGAGAGGGTTCAAATCCCGGATGGACTCAACCTAATAAAAGCACTAGAATATATACTTTACAGAGAAAGTGTAATTCCAAATATAGCATATGTTACATTTGACCGTTTTCTAATGGCAATTTCTATTTACAAACGACAGTAAAATCGAGGTTTGGTGGTGATACATTTCACGAAACGTATCTGTTTATTTCAACGACGATAATCATAGACTGGACAACAGCATTCAATGTTATATATTTTATGATGGTTGCTTAAAGGAACATGATTGAATTAAATGAAACATGCAAGCAAACGCTGAACATTGTTCAAAATGCTCATTAATTCCTGAATACGCGACCAGGCTTTCAACAATGATTCCTTTGTTTGTTGTTTAATGCTGCGCTCAGCAATATTTCATCTATGTGGCGACGGCATGTGAGTGTAGACCAGACAATCCAGTGATCGATAGCATGGGCATCGATCTAGGCAGTTGGGATACGACATGCGTCAACGAAACATATTATTATTCAAAACAATTCAGTGTTGATCCAGAACGTGAATCATAATCCATGGTGGTCACGGAAATGAATACCTGGTGTTCCTGATTTTCAGTGTGCTATTCAAATGGTTTTCATAGGTATTTTGCCGTTAAGCATAATGGAATGTGTGTCCTAGGACTGTATGTTATCTTGAATGGGCGTGCCTTCTGTGATACACTGGAATGTTCAGTGTCTGTGTCTAGCGAACACCCACAGTCCTTCAGTAGACTTCATCACACCGGCATTCCTTCGTTCCACTTTGTGCCTTGTATCTACCTCTAACTTGTATCTGAAATACGAAAACATATTTAAATTTTATTTATAAAACAAACTTAAGTTTTCTCAATGACAACACTCTTATTCAAAGATTCTGTGCACTTTACGTCAAGAGAGAACGATTTCTTGAATACCTGTGAAGTATCCTTGCCAGCATAATCTTTTCCTCGTTCATGGCAAAATGTTGTCCGATACAGTTTCTGAAAAAAAGTGCAATGATCAATCTCGTATTCTCATATAACCTGACTATATCCGTTAGATGTCCATCGGAAGATAAATATCACGAATTTATCAGCGTGCTGATTAATGATGTGACTACAGTTTGCATATATTTTGGATACATACAGCTTTCTCGTGTTCTTACAAACTTAAATACGATTCATGCGCCTGAAGATGCAGGGATGGCTTACAGCACGTTTTGATACTGTTATCAGAATGCTAAAACATATTTCTTAATCTTTTGGGGCGGTAGGTTAGCCCAACGGTTAAAGCTTTGCCTCGCCACACCGGAAACCGGGGCTTGATTCACTTCATGGGTACAATGCGTGAAGACATTTTCTGGAAAATCTAACAAAGGGTCTGTCCATTTTTTTCCAAACGTGGTTTAGGTTCTATTTGTAATCAGTTTACTGATCCAACATGATGAAGCACAGTATTGTAAGATATTTGACAAACTTGAAATTCCAGATTCAAAGTGTATTACTTCTGTGGCACGTCAATGTGTCTGTATGCGTCTGTCTGTGTATATATATATGTACAGAAAAGATTATGGATCGATGAACTATATCGTAAACACAAGCTTAAGGTTATCGTAAAGTTGTGGACAGTTAAGGTCTATTATTAAATGTGCAGTAGTTCTATTGGTTGCTAGAGAACATGGAGGATTACCTCGGGCCAGCGGAGAAGGGGATGTATGCGTAGCTGTCCTTCTTCTGGATGTTCTCGGGTAGAAACCGATCAGGGTCATACACATCCGGGTCCTCCCACACTTCCGGGTTGTGATGGACATGCCATATCCCCACTGCAATGTGGGTTCCTACTGGAAAGACCTTCCCGTCGATGTTCATAGGATGTTCCAGTTGCCGACTGATGAACGGAGCAGGCGAGTGGAACCTCATTCCTTCCTTCAGACATCGTGTCAGATACTCCATCTTGGGGATGTCATCCCTAATTAATAAAATATACATGTTGTTGCATGAACGTTCCCGTTACACACAATCCATCAATCATATCAGTTTGGAGGATTGATCTACAAATTGGGATCTAGTTGGGGATTTCGAACAAAACAGGGCGGATATGTCATACCAGGGGATGTGTCATTCCAGTTGATATTCATTTCCAGAAGATGTTTACCTCTACTTGTGTTCGATACCATGTGCGATGCCTTACCGGGTGATTCACACGGTCATGAGATGTACCCTTCTTGTTGCGCTCCCTACCGATTGATATGCTCTTATATAGGATGTGCCCAGGCATGTGATGTGCTCTCCCAGAATATAAGCCCCAACAAATCATGTGCCCTATCTGAGAATGTGCTCTACCCGGGAATGTATATCAGGTGCCCAGCCAGATGCTCTACCATGTCAACTGCCCTGCTGGGTAAAGTGCTCTACCAGGTGAAGTGCCCTACCATGTAATCTGCCCTACCAGGTGATGTGCTCTACCAGGTAATGTACTCTAACAGGTAATGTGCCCTACCAGGCGATGTGCCCTACCAGGTGATGTGCTCTACCAGGTGGTGTGCTCTACCAGGTAATGTGCCCTACCAGGTGATGTGCTCTACCAGGTGATGTGTTCTACCAGGTGATGTGCCCTACCAGGTGATGTGCTTGGATTCTGATATGTGTCCTTCCTGTTGTGTTCCCTAACAAATGATATGTTCGTATATGTGACATGCCCAATCAAGTGATGTGCCCTATCTCAGGATGTGCCCTACCATGGAATGTACATCAAGTGCCCAACCAGGTGATGTGCTCTACCAGGTGATGTTTCCTACGATGTGATGTTCTCTAACATGTGATGTTCCGTACCAGGTTATCTACCCAACCGTGTGATGTGCCCTACTATGTGATGTGCCCTACCAGGTGATGTGCTTGGACTCTCTTCCGTCCAGCAATGTGTCCAGTTCCTTCTGGATTCTGGTCTGGAACTCAGGTTTGGAGGTTATGGTGAACAGCGTCCATGATATCCCACTTGCTGTCGTGTCGTGACCTTTGTAACAAAATACGCATGAAGAGATCTACTTTAAGCAAGCACGCATGCAGGCAGCCACACAGATGAAGGTTTCGAAATTTTCATGTTGGTGGAGTGAAAACCCCCGTCAGTTGCAAGATAGTGTGTCAGGTAACGATACGCAGTTTTTGTATTTACAGCAATAACGAAGCGGAAGACAGTGACATCAACGCATTTGCAGACATCAACAATTCCTGGTTCAGATTTCCGTTCCAACATTTCAAGATACTCATGCCACAAGTGAACCATTTCCGTTTAAACCTATAGAGAGAACAATGGTACAGAAAGGCACCAGATCTGGATCTACAAGGAAAGTACATGGGTATTTAGACGAGGAAACATCAAGAAAATGATCAGTGGGAAATAAACAATATATTACTTAAATGTAATGTTACAGAGCTAACATGCTACTGCTTGCAAAACTTGTTTTCATCAATAGTTAAAGGGCAACTACTCTGTCCCTGTTGGAGTATTGGTAACGACTCGTGCCACAGACAACAGCTCGCCTGATTAGTGGCCGTACCTCCAAGTAGAAACGTGTCCACTTCATTCCTGATCTCTAGCGGGGTGAGGCCCTTGCCATCAGCATCTCTGGCACTGAGCAGGACGTCCAGGAAGTCGAGGTAGCGGGTTTTTGGGGGTCCATCTCTCTCCTACACATAATTCAGTGTTACATGCCACACAATACATAAAAATATGTTACACACAAAAGAAACGCTTATATTTAAATATATAATACACTCATTTACACGTACTGCAAGTTTGCATCATCAGACCAATGTTACATACTTGTCACACAATTATACAGACACTCATGACAATGGTACAGACACAGAACACGTTTGCATACATTGTTGCACAAAGAGACCCCGTGTAATGTTACACACATAGTGCAGTTGTACACACAAGGGAAATGCCAAGCACAATACAACGCAATTTTATACACACAATACAATATTACTCAGAGCATATTGTTGCACACAGTCATAGTAATATACACAGTGCAATGTTACTCTCAGTATTACCGGTATGTAACTCTCAGTACAATGTTACCAACGGAGTACAATGCTACACAGTACAATGGTGCACATATGCAATATATTATTTTGGAAAACTCTTGCATCACTAAGGGTAGTTATGTTAAATGAATGGTTTTTAGTAAGACACTCACCAAGGTCTGTCGCCTCTTCTCGATGATGTCTTCCGCCCAGCGATGTACAAAGTCACACTGCTTCTTAAACTTCTTCCCGACGGACGAGTTGAAGAAGATAAAGTCAGGGAAATGCCATGGGGTGCTGAAAATATAGTTATCACCATCCATATTCCCGACAGTATTAGTTCTACAAGTTCAAGCAAAAACCTTCAAAATACGTCATATTTAATATGATATTTGTGTTAATAACGGCATTCCTACAATAAAATATACTTCGAATAATGCTGTCTTTCCGTTGTCAGATGCACTGAATGCAATACGCTGAAAGCACAATGAAGTATTGCAGGCACTTTTTAGATAGTTTTAAGAATATGGACCTAAAGAATCGTTTTTTTAATCCACGTGATATCTGCATAGGTAATTGCTTATATGATCTATTCAGATCCAGTATGAGCTCAATCAGATTTTATGCCGAACACGTGTATGATTAATAGTTGTGTGGAAAAATAACCTTAAAACTGGATTCACCAAGATTGAAGTATTGGTACCCGATCCACTGCCTGAACACGATATGGGAGGATTGTAGGACAAACATCCCTGTGGACAAAAGCCCCCTAGGGCAAAAAACCCTAGGACAAAAACCCATAAGGACTAAACACCCAAATGAGGTCCTTTGGACAAAACCCCCAACCATGTTTTAACTGCTATTATTAAGGGTGAAACTTTAGTAATGATGAGGATTAACTGACTTCAAGAGTATTTAAAGTTTAATTAATCAACTTAGTATTTAGATATGTACACATTATAAAGTCGTTCAACTCACTGTCATATTACAACTGGTATACGTATGTGCTCCATAAACTAAGCAGGCAGTAGCATTCTAGCATGGAGATATTGAAGAACAATAAGGGTAAGTTAAGTTAAGCTAAAGGTTATGTTGTCCAGGGGTTCCAGAGAGACGAGTGCTTAGTGTCAACACTCCTCTACCAGTATGCCCGAGGAGTACGTCCACTCAAGAGAGCAATGGAATCAAGAGACCACAGGGCTGCAATGTTGTTGAACCTATGGTCAGGTCGAAGAGATGCTAAGATCTCCATTGAAGACTTTCTAATCGGTGTAGGATATAACATCAGGTTGCGTTGAGAGGCAAATTAGTGCTCAAATTGGGATGTACCCAGTTTATGATAGTGCTCATTGTTGCTCATAATGTATATGATGTCGGCTAAATAGAATATTTGAATAATAAACAATCTTCATCATTCATTTGGAGCTTTTAGTTTTTTGTCATTATTGGACTTTGTTTTTGTCCAAGGTTTTTTTGTCCACACACCGCCTGAACACAAGTCAAGCTAAGCCAAATATACATGTTTCTCGTCCCATAACAGTTGTAAAACCTGACTGGGAAGATTGGGCGTTTACTTAGTCTAGGTCTGTATTAAATTTATACTGAGGTATTCTCTCATACTTACAGGGCTCGATCGGTAGCCATGGCGAATAAATCATTCACTGCACTTACATACGGGTGTGTTTGCCTGAAAAACAATATTCAGCTGTGTAAGTCAACAGTTTTTTCACAGTGTGTTTCTCAAATAAGGATTAATTGTTAATTTTATATTTGAATATATCATCTGAGGAAAACTATGGTTTTGTTTGTAACATGCGGGTATTACAGCGATGTACAAAGTCACACTGCTTCTTAAACGTCTTCCCAAAGGACGAGTTGTAAAATATGATAATTCCCCACACTTTCCTATGGTGCTATATGTGTAATTCCCCGCTCTTCAAATGTCCCTGTCTGTCAATCACCACACTTACCCATGGTGCTGTCTGCCAGATCCGCCGTATTCGACCATGTTAGACATCAAATCCCCGTACTCACCCCTGTTGTCATATATCAAATTCCCCGTACTCACCCCTGTTGTCATGTATCAAATTCTCCATACTCACCCCTGTTGTCATATATCAAATTCTCCGTACTCACCCTGTTGTCATATATCAAATTCTCAGTACTCACCCTGTTGTCATATATCAAATTCCCTGTACTCACCCTGTTGTCATGTATCAAATTCCCCGTACTCCCCTGTTGTCATATAACAAATTCCCTGTACTCACCCTGTTGTCATATATCTAATTCCCGTACTCACCCTGTTGTCATATATCAAATTCCCTGTACTCACCCTGTTGTCATATACCAAATTCTCCATACTCACCCATGTAGTCATATACCAAATTCTCCGTACTCACCCCTGTTGTCATATATCAAATTCCCCGTACTCACCCCTGTTGTCATATATCAAATTCCCTGTACTCACCCTGTTGTCATATATCTAATTCCCCGTACTCACCCCTGTTGTCATGTATCAAATTCCCCGTACTCACCCCTGTTGTCATATATCAAATTCCCCGTACTCACCCCTGTTGTCATATATCAAATTCCCTGTACTCACCCCTGTTGTCATGTATCAAATTCCCCGTACTCACCCCTGTTGTCATATATCAAATTCCCCGTACTCACCCCTGTTATCATATATCAAATTCCCCTGTACTCACCCTGTTGTCATGTATCAAATTCCCCGTACTCACCCCTGTTGCTGTATGTTTTCCTTGACCGACATGGCGCATCTCAACAGGATGTCAAGTGTACACAGACCGACCATGTTGAACAACTCGAAACTGGTGCCTTCCTCAACGTGTTTATCGATCTTCTCCTGTTAACCAAATGTTGATATGTAAGATACTCACAACAGGTCACACACCAGGTAACCACATGGAGAATCGAACCTGGGTCTTCAGTGTGACAAGCTTCAACCACTAGGCTAACCCTTTTCCCAGATCTGATAAAACCATCGTCACTTAATGCATAGTGCAAAGTTTATATCCTTATAGTATTTATAACGTCCATTTTCAAGACAAATAACCTTCAGGGTAAGACGAGATTCTCAAATTGCTAAGATACTTAAGAATAACCCCCAAAAAAACAAAACAAAACAAAAAACCCAAAAACAACACAGTAATGAAAGGAAGGGGTCTCGTTTTGAGAGTCCTCTGTGCCATTTCATTAAATTAAAACTTTAAATTTGACAGCTTACACATGCATATGGTAGTTTAGACCAAAAGAGTGTATTAATTATCATCGCACGTGATTACCAATACCGCACGTTGGATATCACGGCAAATATGGGAACATGAAGTTAGAAACGGATTGGGGATTGGGAATTGGGGATTGGGTATTTTTTCACATTTGGGATTCGAATCCCGAATCTGAATATTCTTTTCGAGATTCGAATCCCGAATCTGAACAAAATATATTCAGATTCGGGATTCAAAATCGAAACCCGAATGTTTAAAGAAACTCAGATTTAAGGTCCAAATATCGAAAACTGCAGTTGGATGTTTATGGTTTTACAATGAGCACCCAGTACATTAGAAGGGGGATGACATATAAGAGTTCAAATGCCAAATGCCGAGTGTCGAATCTGCAAACATACCGAATCTGAAAAAAATATTCAGATTCGGGATTCAAGTCCCGAAACCCGAATGTTTAAAGAAACTCAGATTTGAGGTCGAAATTTGTATCCAACTTCATGTTGCTGGCAAATATCACAAACAGACAAATCTATTCATCTGATGGTCAATAGGTGTGTACGAAATCGAACCGAGTAGCTCATTTGATCCGCGAGGCATGTTCATTGATCATACAATATTTTTTCACTTCTTTATGTGGCGTTTAGATGCTGGATTAATAAACAGGAACGATTGTTATGGATAGACAACTTTTGTATTGGAACGGGTTTCTTGATAACGGTGTTAACATCTACACCGAATCGTCGCTTACATTGCTATAAAGAAGTTGTCTATCCATAAAAAATCGTTGCTGTTCGAATTTTGTTTGATTGTTAACGTTGGCATGCTATATCATGCGGGAAGAATACTGTTATCATATAACCACGAATCTAAATGGAACCAGGTGGCGTCAACGTTGAATTTCTAGTAAATCTGAAATTTAATATTAAAATTTCTTCATGTTTCACCTGTCAATGTACGGGACATAAATAGAAGCGTTCATGCAAATGAATACTTTATTAAGTTTTAGAACTAGCTTTATCTTCATACTTAACACTACAAACGGTATCAAAACCATTTTCGTATGATTTTAGCTGTGCTTTTGCTATGACTCAACATTTATTCTCATTTCATTCGATAGACATTCGACGCATCGATGTCATTAAAACCAGATATTTGCAGATGACAAGACTTTTTCAAGCAAGATGCTTGAAAACGGTATAATAATCTATTCCGAAACGTCGCCATTGTTAAAATAAAGAAGTTGATCATCCATAAAATCTTGTCATCTCTATACCACCAACTTCTAGAATGCCACTCAAACAAATTCGATATTTGCACTAATGCAATAGTACATACATTGAGACCCGATAACCTATAAATGAACCAATCAGCTGCCAGCTTACTAAAGTGATTTGGCTTTATCCGTTTGTAAGTTTTGATAAAAATCACTACAGAAACACTATACCCTCGATAGTGTTTGGGTGTACATGCGGGTGTCAGTGAGGGTGGTTTAACTCGCTTCTACCAATGATCCAATCACATCACCGTGTGTCAGCTTCTTGGAGGAAAGTCCCGAAAGATTCACGTCTGAGATCGGTTACCACTTTCGTGAAATATGGGTATGATGGTAACAAAAGTAGGAAGATATACCGGAATTCGAACCAGGTTCCTTATGTGTCCAAGGGGCGCAATACTGCATGGTGAATTACAATGCCTTATATGACTTTACCTCAGAAACAAGGAGTAAACCCTATTCTAAATTATGTCTTATAAACATCTGGGACACCATCCCATAGCTGCAACCTTTGAACTTTGGGGGTGACATGTACAGTCAAGTACTCAACTGACCAGCATGGTGTCAATGGCGTTGTTGGAGACGTCGACGTAGGTTTTGAGGATGTCGAAGTGGAAGGCGGGAGTAAGGAGGCTACGAGATCTGTACCAGCGTTGACCCCTAGCAGTCAGGAGACCATCCCCAAGCCAGGGTAGTAACGTTGCATATGCTCCTCCAAATCCCGTTGATTTAGGTTCTACAGTACATTTGTAACCAGAGGGTCAAGATGCTCTGAACGTGTTTCTTTGATAATGAAATTACACTTAAAAAAAAAAATTCTACCCTTTCTTAACCGAAACACACCTGCAACCATTAGTAAACCACCAAAACTTTGTGATTTTGCAGCGGCACTTGTCGATAAGCATCATTTCCATCTACTTTCAATCAATAATCAGTAACATTAACTCTCATCATCCATTTCAGATATCGTTGGAACGTATATCAAAACCCGACAAATGAGTAATTTAATGGTCACCCGTGGACTTGATGATGGCTCTGATCGTGTCTGGATGATAGACCCTGATGACTGGGAGGAAGGGACCCATCCAGATCCGGTAGTACTTGGGGTATCTCCTCATCCATTCCTGCTCCACTACAACACGTTTCTCAAACAACTTAGGGAACTGAAACATATACACAAACCCGGTGAAGGAGATGAGTGACCAATTCGGTTTCTGTGCACTTCACTGTGCCCATGGTGCCGTTTGGATGGGCGCTGGCCCTTAGAGGATTGAGTCACCGAGGTTGGTTTGACACTGTGCACTTCGCTGTGCAGAGTTGCTTCCTTTCGGTGAGCCTCAAGTCAAAAGTCGTGCCTTGAGATCGCTGTATGTTTCTAGACTTCGTGCGGATTTACAAGTTAACTCAATCGTATTTTTGCTTCTGAAAGTTGGATAGACTGGAGTATTGATATACATGCTTAACCTGCTGCTGAAATAGCTTTCAACGTTATAAGTATGCTGACCGGTTCACGGTTCTCGGTTCGAGACTGCGATGTCAGTAAATAGTAAAACTATATCTATACACGATCTTAGATGACTTTGTTACTAAGCAACGATGGCCTAGAACGAGATAAACTCACTCACCAAATGCAGGTTGCCTGTCCTCCAGGAGAAGTCCTTGACCCCCTGGCAGTTGTTGAAGAAGCTGTAGAGACACCGATACCAGATCAGGAACTTGATGATGCGGTATATCACGTACAGGAGAACAGATGTTGCTACAGACTTGACAACAGTTTCTCGATTCAGACGAGATGCGAGTTGCAGAAAGTCCATCTTCTTCGCCCTCTCTTTGTCACCTTCTCAGCACAATAACAGACTGAGCACTGTTACACTCACTACCAACCCTAGATTCCTCCCGCTACGAATTATTGATTAACAGCTGAGGGTATTCATCGTGTATAGATTAAACCACGACATATACGTGTTCTGCTATGCTTTGGTATAATAGAGATTCCAATTATGTTCTTTAGAATGCTGTCGAAGTATTTCTGAGTGTGTTGAATGTGAGAAGCGTTTATTGAACATGATACGTTGTGTGGTCCTGTTGTCCGAAAATATATATTGGTTTGTCGGTCGAAATTAAATATTCGATTTTCAAATGAGGTCATATGCATATATACATGATAACAGAACACTTGTTATGCGCATATATCCATGACTGATTACATGCTCACAGCGCACAGTCAGAAAAGGTTTGGGAGAAGAGATAGGTCTTAAGTTGTGACCTAGAAAGAGTCCAGTCTGTACAGTCTCTCAGGTATTGTGGCAGGCTGTCTCATAGGATTAATGCTGCATAAGTAAAAGTCCATTTGACATGTTGTGGTGTTCTTACTTTAGGGACAGTTAACAGGTTTTTATTTTCTGAGGGTAAAGGGTGTAAAGTTTGCTGTCAAGCAGCATTTGTATCTGTGTCGAAACGTCGCCTAAACAGAATAAAGAAGTTGTATATCCATAAAAGAATTGTCCTCATTCTTCACGTTGAAGTTGTAAAGCTGAGCTTTAGTTGCGCCGGAAAGGGGACTGTTGCAATAGTCGAGTATCCACATCACCAGTGAAAGGACTAAAAAAATAGCAGAGTTTTTAGTTAGATATTTTCTAACAGATCCGATGTTTCGTAGCCGGAGGAGACACATTTTCACAACATTGTTGATTGACTGTTTAAAGAAAGATCGGAGTGAATTGTGAAACCCAAGTCTCTAACACTATCAGAAGCTGGTAACATCAAAAGTGGAGATGCAAACCTGAGCGGACATCAGTTCCAAAGAGAAGACATTTGGTCTTAGTTTCATCGAGTTTCAACTTGTTGTTGAACATCCAGGTTTTTAATTTGTCTTTGCTTTCTTCTCCCACATCTTGTAGCTCGTCTGAAAGGCCGTGACTTGTGACACATACGTACCGACACAGATGTTCCACGTCCCCGTACTTACACCGGTTACACTCAGTCACATTTCCAGAACACGTTCCTGTTGCTGTCTGTCACATGCACTTGCATACCGCTGTCACAGTCATCACATTCCCGTCACATACCCATGTCACCCTGTCTCATTCCCTTCACATTCCCATGTCACCCTCTGTCTCATTCCCTTCACATACCCATGTCACCCTCTGTCTCATTCCCTTCACATACCCACGTCACCCTCTGTCTCATTCCCTTCACATACCCATGTCACCCTCTGTCTCATTCCCTTCACATACCCACGTCACCCTCTGTCTCATTCCCGTCACATACCCACGTCACCCTCTGTCTCATTCCCTCCATACCCATGTCACCCTGTCTCATTCCCTTCACATTCCCATGTCACCCTCTGTCTCATTCCCTTCACATACCCATGTCATCCCTGTCTCATTCCCTTCACATACCCATGTCACCCTGTCTCATTCCCTTCACATACCCATGTCACCCTCTGTCTCATTCCCTTCACATACCCACGTCACCCTCTGTCTCACTTCCTTCACATACCCATATCATCCTCTGTGTCACCTTCTGTCTCATTCTGCCCCTCCTTCACATACCCACGTCACCTCTGTCTCATTCCTTCACATACCCATGTCACCTCTGTCTCATTCCCTTCACATACCCACGTCACCCTCTGTCTCATTCCCTTCACATACCCATGTCACCCTCTGTCTCCTCCCTTCACATACCCATGTCACCCTCTGTCTCATTCCTTCACATACCCATGTCACCCTCTGTCTCCTTCCTTCACATACCCATGTCACCTCTGTCTCATTCCCTTCACATACCCACGTCACCCTCATGTCACCTCTGTCTCTTCAGCCATTCCCATGTCACCCTCTGTCTCACTCCCTTCACATACCCATCGTCATTCCCTCTGTCTCATTCCTTTCACATTCCCATGTAACCCTCTGTCTCATTCCTTCACATACCCATGTCACCCTCTGTCTCATTCCTTTCTGTACCCTCGTCACTTCTCTGTCTGTACCTCTTCACATACCCATGTCACCTTCTGTCTCTATATTCCCTTCACATACTCCATGTCACCCTCTGTCTCTATTCCCTTCTACATACCTATCGTCCCCTCTGTCTCTATGTCCTTCACATACCCATGTCACCCTTGTCTCATTTCTCCCTTTCTTCACATTCTATGTCACCCCTCTGTCTCCATGTCTTCACATTCTATATCATCCTTCTGTCTCATTCCCTTCTACATACCCATGTCACCTCTGTCTCATTCCCTTCATACATACCTAATGTCACCTTCTGTCCCACTCCCCTTCACATACCCATGTCACCCTCTTCTGTCTCATTCCTCTTCTACATACCTATCGTCAATTCTGCTCTCATTCCCCTTCACATATCCCATGTCACCTCTTGTTCCCATTCTCTTCACATACGACCACTCACTCCTTGTCTTCATTCCTTCTTACATCTCTATGGTCACCCTTGTTCTATTCCCTTTCTACATACCTATATACAATTCTCTGTCTCTATTCCTCCTCTTCACATACCTTATGTCACCCTCTGTCTTCATTCCCTTCTACTTACATACCTAATGTCACCTCTCTCTGTCTCACTTCACTATACTCCATATGTCACCCTCTGTTCTCATTCCCCTTCTACATAACCCATTGTCACCTTTGTTCGTATTCTCTTCTATACATACCCACGTCACCCTGTTCTCATTCCTTCACATTCTATCGTCACCCTGTCTCATTCCCTTCTACATACCTTATCGTCACTCCTGTTCTATTCTCTTCTACATTCCCATGTCACCCTTGTTCATTCCCTTTCTACATTCCCTATATATCATCCTTCTTGTCTCTACTCCTTCACATAACCATGTCACCTCTGTCTCTATTCCTGTCACATACCCATGCAACTTGTCTCTATTCCCTTCATACCCATCGTCACCCCCACTGTCTCATTCCTCGTCACATTCCCATGTCACCCTCTGTCTCATTCCCTTCACATTCCCATGTCACCCTGTCTCTCATTCCCTTCACATACCTATGTCACCTCTGTCTCTTAATTCCCTTCACATACCCAATGTCACCCTCTCTGTCTCATTCCCTTCACATACCCATGTCAATTCTCTGTCTCATTCCTCCCTTCTACATACCCACGTCACCTCTCTGTCTCATTCCCTTCACATTCACATATCATCCCTCGTCTCATTCCTTCCACATACCCATGTCACCCTCTGTCTCACTCCCTTCACATACCCATATCATCCTCTGTCTCATTCCCTTCACATACCCATGTCACCCTCTGTCTCATTCCCTTCACATACCCACGTCACCCTCTGTCTCTATTCCCTTCATACCCACGCGTCACCTTCTTGTCTCACTCCTTCACATACCCATGTCACCCTGTCTCACTCCCTTCACATACCCATACCATTCTCGTCTGTCTCATTCCCTCTCACATACCCATGTCACCCCCTCTGTCTCACTCCTCTCACATACCCACGTCACCCTCTGTCTCATCTCCCTTCACATACCCATGTCACAATTTCTTGTCTCACCCTTCACATACCCACGTCACCCTCTGTCTCACTTCCCTTCACATACCCACGTCACCCCTGTCTCCATTCCCTTCACATACCCACGTCTCCCTCTCTGTTCCCTACTTTCACATACCCATATCATCCTCTGTCTCATTCCTTCACATACCCATGTCACCCTCTCTTGTCTCACTCCCTCACATACCCTATATCATCCTCTGTCTCATTCCCTTCACATACCCATGTCACCCTCTGTCTCACTCCCTTCACATACCCACGTCACCCTCTGTCTCACTCCCTTCACATACCCATCGTCACCCTCTGTCTCACTCCCTTCACATACCCATGTCACCCTCTGTCTCACTCCCCTTCACATACCCATATATCATCCCTCTCTGTCTCTATTCCCTTCACATACCCATGTCACCCTCTGTCTCATTCCCTTCACATACCCATCACCCCTCTCTGTCTCATCCATACCCTCTGTCTGTCTCTATCCCCTTCACATACCCATGTCACCCTCTGTCTCACTCCCTTCACATACCCATCGTCACCCTCTGTCTCATACTTCCTTCACATACCCACGTCACCCCTCTGTCTCACCCTTCATACCCATCACCCATGTCTCACCATTCACATCTCATCTGTCTCCCTTCACATACCCACGTCACCCTCTGTCTCACTCTCCTTCACATACCCACGTCACCCTCTGTCTCACTCCCTTCACATACCCATGTCACCCTCTGTCTCACTCCCTTCACATACCCATATCACCCTCTGTCTCACTCCCTTCACATACCCACGTCACCCTCTGTCTCACTCCCTTCACATACCCATGTCACCCTCTGTCTCACTCCCTTCACATACCCACATCATCCTCTGTCTCATTCCCTTCACATACCCCATCTGTCACCATCTCCTCTGTCATACCCATGTCGCCTCTCTGTCTCAATTCCCTTCACATACCCCATGTCACCCTCTGTCTCCACCCTTCACATACCCACGTCACCCTCTGTCTCACTCCCTTCACATACCCATGTCACCCTCTGTCTCACTCCCTTCACATACCCATATCATCCTCTGTCTCATTCCCTTCACATACCCATGTCACCCTCTGTCTCATTCCTTCACATACCCACGTCACCCTCTGTCTCACTCCCTTCCTATACCCACGTCACCCTCTGTCTCTCCCTTCACATACCCACGTCACCCTCTGTCTCACTCCCTTCACATACCCATGTCACCCTCCGTCTCATTCCCTTCACATACCCATGTCACCCTCTGTCTCATTCCCTTCACATTCCCATATCATCCTCTGTCTCACTCCCTTCACATACCCACGTCACC